ATGTCAAGGTGATCACCAAGAACCTAACGGTTGCGTTCGTTGCACGCTTTAAAATGATGTATCATGTGTTGCCTCGGGAACCTATATTGTTCCTGCTCAAAAGTTTGATTATCTTTTTTTTCTTCCAGTTTTTGATCCTCAATTTTTTCCTCTGAACTTGCGAAGTTCAGTTTATTGTGGGACAAAAAAGTCAGTTTACGTTGCGCCTATGGGAGCTGGCCCAATGTCAAGTTTGTCTTGAAGCCACAAACTTCGGCACTTAACATGCAGTTTTTTCCTTTTATTAAAAATCCTTTTTTATAACAATTTGTTTTTTGGGATTCAGCCACAACTAAACTCCTGTTATAACATTCTGAGAAGGATCTGCTTTGACAGGTGATGCAGCTCAGAGTTTAGGACCACCAATCTCACGTATTCAGACAAAGTTATAAAGTATTTAGTTTCTCCTGTTAATTTTGTCCCTGCTCTGTGATGCACGTTACAACCAAACCCTACCCACTGTGTCTTATGGTGCGTTCAGACCAAACGCAATTTCTGCGGCCAAATCGCGTATATCGCGCGGCTTGAGCCGCTTGTGACAAATTGTGACAGTCGCTGTCACAGAGAAACTTGGCCGCGCGGCCAGGACACTAGAGGGCAGCCGCTGTCACAGAGCGTTGAGAGCGTTTAGGGGCGGGGCTTGTCTCTTTTGCCTGTAGCTTCCCAAAATGGATGTCAGCGAAGGAGTTGCTTGGCTCTATCTAATAAATAAAGCCAGACAGCGTCGTCAAAGGGCGAATCGACGACGTGTCTGGATTCACCAGATAGTCCGTAGACGGTTGGAGTTTGGTGAGTTTCACCATTTGCTCCGGGAGCTGCGCTCGGATGAGGGTCGCTTTCAGCGGTACTTTCGTCTCTCCCTGGCCCAGTTTGACGACCTACTGACCCGCATTGGCGCAAGGATCACCTACCAGGACACCAACTACAGGCGCTCTATTCCAGCTGAAGAGCGCCTGTCCATCTGTCTGCGGTTAGTGTTTTTTACCCCATTCGGAATTCCTAAATACTTACAAAGTTTGTCATTTTTCAATCACAATCCACAATGTAATAGCTCAGAAAACAGTATTATGCAACAATTTGGTGTCTATGATTACTGTCTATGATGTTTACTGTCTACTAGTTTAACGTATTTTATGCTACACAAGTTTTGTCACGTGATTTTTATGAATGTAATTGTGATAAATATGTTCATATCATTTTGTAATTGCAGGTTTCTTGCCACTGGGGACTCCTACAGGACCATTGCGGGGAGCTTCAGAGTGGGCATATCCACCGTCTCCATGCTCATCCCAGATGTGGTGGCAGCCATCTGGGACTGCCTCGTGGAGGAGTTCATGGCTGTGCCTGGAGCAGAGGAGTGGAGGTCCATAGCGCAGGACTTTGAGGTCCGATGGAACTTCCCTCTGTGCTGTGGGGCCATTGATGGGAAGCATGTGGCTGTGAAGGCACCCCCCAACTCTGGGTCCATGTTCTTTAATTACAAGGGGCACCATTCCCTTGTGCTCCTGGCTGTAGTGGATGCCCAGTACAGGTTCAGGGTGATTGATGTGGGAGGGTACGGCAGATCCAGCGATGGAGGCATCGTGTCCAACTCTGCCTTTGGTGAGGCTCTGCGCGAGGGCACACTCGACCTGCCTCCTGACCAGTGCATACCTGGAGCTGACCACAGAGGACCCCAGCCCCATGTGTTCGTGGCAGATGAGGCCTTTCCACTGCGCCGCAATTTAATGCGCCCTTTCCCTGGACGTGGTGGCCTTACCCCAGAGCAGCGCACCTTCAACTACCGCCTCTCCCGGGCCCGGTTAGTGGTGGAGGATGCATTTGGGATTTGGTCTGCGCAGTGGAGAGTGTTTCGCCGTCACCTGGAAGTCTCCCCAGAAGTTGTGGAGAAGTGTGTGAAGGCCACTTGTGTCCTTCACAACTTCATGAGGATGGCTGGAGATGGGCAGGTTCCTGCACCGAGGGGAGCTGCTGCCGGTGAAGAACCACTTCCAGGCGTGCAGCGGATGGGCGCCAACAACGCGACCAGAGAAGCAGTGGACATAAGGAAGGTGTTCATGGCCCACTTCAGTGAGGAGGGAGCACTGCCGTGGCAGCCCACAGAGTAGTCATGTCCACCACAAGACTGACCCACAACGGCTCTTTTCAGAGCCACCCACAACGGCTCTTTTCAGAGCCACCCACAAAATACAAAGAGCCTAACTTCATTCCTGACATATAATGTGCTGAGCCTCTTGAATATGAAATTCTTTACATTTTTTCTGGCCATAGTCCAAACCCATATTGATTTGCACTATTCTATTCACCTGTATACCTTCTGTTTCTAGGTAATGACTGCCAGACTCCACTGCGACTCCACTCCAACTTCAGGTTAATCATATGCACATTCAAGCTTTTCCGTAATTACAAGTTTGTTAAAACAGTAAAAGGTGAAATGAATAAAAAATACTGCCAACTAATGTATTGCTCTTTAAGTGTTAGTTATTTCATCTTCTATAAAACCCAGTCAGCTCTTATTAAAGTAAATGTACAAATATAGAATAGCATTTTCTGTCAGTATTATATGAAAGGTAGTAATGGTTTGCTTGAAGTAGAACACATGAGGTTTGAAAAATATTTTCTTTATAAAAAAAGGAACAAACAATGAACAATAAATTAAATGTACATATAAACAAATGAAAAGGAGCTTGCTTGGAGGAGGTGCGGTGGAAGAGGAAAGGGACACATGTCTGTTTCCTCCCCTGCAAAAGGTGTCACCTTAGGTCAAAAAACTGTCTGTTCTGGCCAATGGTTCCAAATTAAGCAGAACGGTGCTGCTTTCATATAGAAGTTGATACATTTTGAATTTAACAAATTCTCTTGACTCTGGTGCCACCCTTTGCAGGAGAGGAACGAGAGAGAGCAGGAACTGATGTTCTTCTGAGTTGTGGGGCGGTGCGGCTGCTTTGGTCCGTAGAGTCTCCAGCAGCTCCCGCTCCCACTCGGAAGGCGGCTCTACGGACGTGGGCCTCTTCCGAGCCCTCTTCCTTGGTGGGCCTTCAAAGAACACAGGGCAATCACAGTGTTAAAAAGTGGAACATGTATTTCAAAAAAGCAAAATGAAGAGAGCAAATAATATCTGTATTAAAGCCAGAGTGTGTAGACATAGTTAAACACATGTAAAACACTTTTAAGTTGTGTGTTTGTGTTACAATTAACTTGAACATTGCAGTTATCAATGAAATTACTCACACAAGCACAAATTTCGACAGTTACAAACTAATATCTCTGAAGTGTATTTCGCAATGAAATTTGAAATTGGCTGTTAAAAAAGTAATACTCTATTGTCTGCATTAAACAGGATAGCTGCCATCTTGTGGCAACCTTTGCATGTATTTGTTCAGTACTTTTATAGCATAAGGTATTTCAGTAGTATGTTTTTATCGAAGAAAGAGGGAAGATGTGAAGCTTCAGACCAAAGCTTCTTTCCACCTGTAGTGCCTTGACATCTTGTCGTTTCTCTGTAAATTTGTCGTCTACACTGATGTAACAGCCCTTGGGTAATTTTGGCATATTATGCAGTAACATTTTGTTTATATGAACAGTCCTGTAATAAGAATAAAAATAAAACAATGATTAAAAAAAGCCACACCTGTAGGTGCAGAAGCAGGGGAAGGTCCAGCCCTCACAGAAGAAGAACCGGCTGAGGAAGAAGCAGCAGCAGCAGCAGCAGCAGCAGCAGCAGCAGCAGCAGCAGCAGCAGCTCAGGCCAAGATGTCTCACCTTGTGTGGTGGTGGCAGTATCTGCACCAGAAGAAAACAAGAAATACAATTATTTCATATCATGTGTACATTGCGCTTATGACATTTATATGTACATAATAATGTACATTATTATGTACATTTAAATGATTTGTTCATATGAAAGGGAAAAGTGAAATTTAACACAACACATGATCAAGATCTATCCTGGTTTGAAAATAGCCAATGCCTATTTTCACCTGGCCATGATGTTAAGAAAGCATTAAAAGAAATGCATACACAGAAAGCAATATAAATGTAAAAGTCAGCAAAATGTGGGTAATAAAAAGGAAAGAAATGTATTTTTTCCAACTGTTCGAGGTCTCTGTTTGCTGCATGACACCGACCTTCAGCACCTGACAGCCCTGCTGCTGCTGCTTCCTCTGGCTCTTCTTCTGGGTGGTTGTACCCTGTGGTCTGCTCCTCCTCGGCCCTTCGCCTTGGCATGTTCCCGGAGCTGTCACGGGGAGTGATGTAGGGCTCGAGGAAGGACATGACCACAAGGTACTTCCACGTCTGGCCTTTCCCTGCTTCTGCACCACTCTTCTTCACCTTTTCCTTCTCCTTCCTGCTCTCCTTAGCATATGTGTCCCTCAGGTTCTTCCACCGCTTTTTGCAAACTTCCACTGAATAAACACATCAACTCGTAAGCGGGAAAGTAGTAGTTTTTTTTGCGGGGAAATATTTACTGTGAAAAGTTAAAATAACTTACCCGAGACACCAACCACCTCGCTAACCCTCCTCCAAGCAAGCTCCTTTTTATTTCGGTCCCGGTAGCTGTGGTCTGCAGTGTTGTATAGCTCAGAATGAGCACCGACCTGAGCTATTAACGTGTCCTCCATGATCTACTGTCATCTACTAGTGTTTTCCCGGTAGTGAAATGCGTCACTACGTCACTGTAGGAGAAAGCTCCTGATTGGTCGGCACACGCGAATTCTCCCAAAAAGTTCAACAATGTTCAACTCTAGCGGCGGCCGCGTTGGAGGCACGAATCGCGCGAAACGCGCGTCAAAACGCTTGACATCTCAAAACACGCCGCGCGAAACGCTTGAATTCGCGCCGCTCTGGCCGCGCGAATCGCGCCGCGTGATCTCTCGCCGCTCCTTGGCGCGCGTCCCCCATGTTGTGTCAATGTAGACCCGCCGCTTTGGCCGCAGAAATCGCGTTTGGTCTGAACGCACCATTAAGCTGTCTTCTATCTGCTGAGGAGGCTCCACCTGCTGAGGAGGCTCCACCTGCTGAGGAGGCTCTCCCTGCTGAGGAGGCTCCACCTGCTGAGGAGGCTCCACCTGCTGAGGAGGCTCCTCCGGGTGAGGAGGCTCCACCTGCTGAGGAGGCTCTCCCTGCTGAGGAGGCTCCACCTGCTGAGGAGGCTCCTCCGGGTGAGGAGGCTCCACCTGCTGAGGAGGCTCTACCTGCTGAGGAGGCTCCTCCGGGTGAGGAGGCTCCACCTGCTGAGGAGGCTCTTACCTGCTGAGGAGGCTCCTCCTGCTGAGTAGGCTCTCCCCCTCCTGAGGAGGCTCCCCCTGCTGAGTAGGCTCTCCCTGCTGAGGAGGCTCTACCTGCTGAGGAGGCTCTGCATGTTCTTCAGATCTTTTGGAGTGAATTTTCAGATTACTTCAACTGCTGGAAAGTGGAAATAGTCTTTTTGTTACCGCCCTGGAAAGTGTGACAATCAGATAAATGTATGAGTTTTGGTCAACTCATGCTATTATTACTATTGATTATAGGTCAATTCATTCAATATGTAGGTAACTGTGGCAAATGGGTGCTATGGTAACTCATGTGTGTCATCTTCGAGCATTGATGGCTTTAGATGTGTATTAGATCTCTTCAGACAAACCAAATACATAGTCGGTCAGTTGTAGCAAACACACAGTTGACACAAAGGTTGGTTTGTTCTAAAACTCACACAACATTAGCAGACCTCCGCACACAGAGGCCCACCTCTTCATGAGCGGAACCCAAGAGAGAAAGCAGAAAGCTGATTACAAACTTCCCAGAAACCCAGTGGAGGTGCCCTATAACCCGGCGTTCCACATGCATCACAGACAGACAGAAGAGCATGTGGGATTTTCACTCCTCAGACCAGAAGGTGCAGAGTCTGAGGGATCAGGTGACAGTTCTCACACAGAACGCCAGCTGAGTGACCTGGAGCAGAAGACCTCAGCAGCATCACAGAATAGAGAGAGAGAGTGAGTACCTGCACAACAAACTCCTCTGTCTCAAAGCTATGATACGTCCGTCTTGGAAGAAGAGAGGAGCACTGTCACCAAAGCTGAAAGTAAAGAGCAGATGTTAGAGACAGGAGCTGAAGAAAGAAATCTCTCTGACATCTTTCTCTGGAGGAGAAAGATGGGCCTCCTGCAGAAGGAGACACAGCACCTCAAGAGTGAAGTGTTCTTTTATAAATCAGCACTGGCTGAAGAAAAGTCCTCAGTGTCCTCTCTGACATCTTCCCTGGAAGAGCAGATGAACACTGTCTTAGAGGCTCAGCGCACAGTGGACCTGCTGCAGAAGGACACACAGGACCTCAAGAGTTAAGTGTCCTTTCTAAAAGAAACCCTGGATGTGGGAAGGAGCAACTTTGTGGAGTCTCAAGATAAAGTGAAGATGAAGGAAGAAGGAGACGCTCCAGCTGCTGTGTGCAGTGACAGAGCTCAGCTGCAAGAGCAGACAATTCAGAAGCAGCAGGATATGTCCACTACTCAGCAGCAGGAACTCCAAACTGCTGTGGCTCAAACACAGACTCCTTAAATGAAGATAGAAGAGCTTTCTATCACTGTATATTGACATTTTGTCTTGAATGAAAATATGTAAAAATAAAATTAACAACTATGTTCAGTAATTAGGCCAGAGCCTCAATTTAGTATTTTAAAACCCAGCTCTGGTCGTTTCACAACCAGGGCTCAAAATTGCTCCACATCATAAAACAAGTGTGGCATCTAAAGTTTAATTGAGATCAGTTAAACAGTGTGTGTGCAGCAGATATTAGTATTAGTAATTAAACAAACGCCTAAAAATGGCTCGTTGACGTGAAGGTCAGTTACTTGACCCGGGGACAGGGCAGAATATGAGAGAAGGCTTTATCTATTTGTACATTCCTACTATAGTTTTTCAGTTTTTTCATGTAATGTAACCGGGGACTGCAGGTGGAAACTGGCTGTGTCGCTATAATCTGGTGCAGAACATAACATAACATAACACAGCTTGATGTTACTGTGCTCTGTCTCTTTCAAAAAAGACCAAACTTAAACTAAACAAAGGAGCAGTAGAGCTGTTTTGGGTGAGTGAAGATCTTACCGTCAGAGTGCTGCAAAAGCCCAAACTCTATAGCACTATGTGGATGAAAAACTTCCATTAAAATGCAATTTCCGCTTTCTCTGGTAACTCTCCGCTCTCTCTTTGGTCAGTCTCTGGTTGCTCTCTGATCTCCTTTCGGTCTCTCTCTGGTCTTTCTCTCTAGTCTCTCCCTGTTTCCTCTCTGGTGTTGCTCTGGTCTGTCTCTAGTGTCGCTCTGGTCTGTCTCTGGTCTGTCTCTGGTCTCTCTCTCCTGTCTCTGTTTTCCCTGGTCTGTCTCTTGTCTCTGTCGCTAGCCACTTTTGTCTCTTTCCTTTTGGAGACCACCATAACTTTGTTTTGATTTTATTTTTCCAGTATTATCCGTGGTGAAACGCTGACATGGGTCCAAACGCCGGGACCACCTTTCATCCTGGGTTCAACACAGCATGTAAACACTTTTTATGACAAAAATTATGTAATGTTTAGTACAGAAGACCCCTGTATGCACATGTCTCCTTTAACCCCACACACATTTAAATAACTATTAGCCTTAGCCGCTGTTGCTAAAAGCCACAATAATAGGTGCATGCCCGGCAAATGAGAAATGGTGCAATTAAAGCCGGCGCGCATGCATTCTTTCTTTAGCTCCGATTAGCTCGCGGTGACACGGCAGCCGCGCCGCAGCCCGCCAAGTCAGCCCTGCGCGTTGCAGACGTCGACTGTTGGCCGCGCTCAGGCAATTAGTAAAATTAGTGGCACCGGATTTGGCGCAGATTCAGACCACATGGCCCGCAAGATACCGGCCCCGGTGTCACTACGGTAATTTATAACTTTGCACGTGGAATAATAGCTTTGAAAAATCATGCCGCGTCAAACAGTGTTATATGACAGCGAGAGCCAGGGAGAAGAAATGCTGCTTCTTCCCAAAAAAGAAAATGTGGGCGGCCATTTTGCATGTGTGTGTGTGTGTGTGTGTGTGTGTGTGTGTGTGTGTGTATGTGTGTGTGTGCGTGAAGAGGACAGAGGAGACAGAGGTCCAAGCCGATGGTAATTAGCAGTCTGGGTTGTGTTTGTTTTCATTTTGCGCATGTTTGTGCTGATAAAGTTTGACTTGCCAAAATTCCCAGTCCGCCGTTGGATTGGGCTCAAGCTGCTCGGCATTCTTCGGGAGCGCAGGGAGCTTGTGGGCTGCTACTGGTGGTCATGCACACACATACACGCACACACACACGCACACACATACACATGCTGACATGCACACGCAAAGACACACATGCGCACGCACAGACACAATGCGCAGGAACATTTTTTCAGAATCATGTTGTGATCAGTGTTTTGGGGATGTGTATTACAAAGAATGGGGTGATATTGGGATGTTATAAAGCATGATAATTCAATGTAATAAAAGTAGTTCCAGTAGTTCAGTTTTCTTTGAGCCCTAGTTTTCATTATTACAGTATTTTTGGCCTCTGTCACATCTTTAGATCAGCTTTTTCAGACAGAAAAGTGACAAAAAGAGGACCACCCTCACTCAGCCAATTAGCTCGAGTCAAATAGTGACTTGCATGGCTCTTTCTTCTATGTAAAAGTTGGATCAGATAAAAAATGTTAAATGGTGCTGAAGATGTTTTACAACATAATGACTTTTTAAAAAAGAGCATTTAGACAGAAGGGGTGGGGAGAAAAGTTTATTCCAGAAGTTCTCAGTGTGGGTGGAGCTACAAACAACTCCAGGTCTGATTTTGATCAGGGAACTGTCATGGTGTGGATTTTATTTTTGTAATTTTATTTTATTTTGAAATTGGTCTTGTGGTTTGGTTTTAGTTTTGCTTCCTGTCTTGTTCCCCAGTCTTGATTGTCTGCCCCGCCCTGATGTGTTTCACCTGTGTCTCTGTGTGTCTATATGTACCCTGTGCTTCTCTCCCCTTGTTGCTAGTCCATTGTATTGTCAACTTCTGTTCTGTCCTGTTCCTGGTTCTGTGTTTTGGACTTGGAGTTATGTTTTCACCTGGACTTTTATTTTATTAAATCATTCTTTTGCATTCCTGCATTTGAGTCCTCCATCATCTCACCATGTGACAGAATGGACTAGCCACTAATGGACTCAGCGGATTGCCTTTTTTCCCACAAGGTTTTTTATTTATTTTATTTATTTTTTTTGTGCCGATTGCCTTCTTCGCTGCCTACCTCTTACACCTGTTACCTGGAACCACCGCCAGGCAAGAAACTCCGCCTGGGGTGGTTATTCATCTTGCACCACCGCCGGGCATTGATGTCCGTCCGGGGTGGTCCTTTGTTCCCTCTGCCCGTCCTGCTGAGAGGTAGCCAGTGGAGTTGTGCACCGGTCTTCACATCCTCAGTCTGCTGCTCAATGGTGACCTGTCCTTCCCTTGACTCTTGCCGCCGCCAGACATTACCTCCGTCTGGGGTGGTTCTGCCCCCAGCCTGAGTCACCGCCGGGCATATGTCTTCGTCCGGGGTGAGCCAGCTCCTTCACTCTCCAGACCCTCGGGAAGGTCGCCACTGGACTTTAGCTCCTGTCCCTGATCGGTTCCGTACCACTCACCATGTGACAGGAACAATATTGTAGAATAGTTAAATTGTTTTGCACAATTCAGCTCTCAACCCAAAGTGTCAAATCTGGATCTACAGCCTCAGTCCTGATCTACTGCCTCCATCATGGATCTAAAGCCTCAGTCCTGGATCTACTGCCTCCATCATGGATCTACAGCCTCCATCATGGATCTACTGCCTCAGTCCTGGATCTACAGCCTCAGTCCTGGATCTACAGCCTCCATCATGGATCTACAGCCTCCATCATGGATCTACTGCCTCAGTCCTGGATCTACAGCCTCAGTCCTGGATCTACTGCCTCCATCATGGATCTACTGCCTCAGTCCTGGATCTACAGCCTCAGTCCTGGATCTACAGCCTCAGTCCTGGATCTACAGCCTCCATCATGGATCTACTGCCTCAGTCCTGGATCTACAGCCTCAGTCCTGGATCTACTGCCTCCATCATGGATCTACTGCCTCAGTCCTGGATCTACTGCCTCAGTCCTGGATCTACAGCCTCAGTCCTGGATCTACAGCCTCCATCAATCAATCAATCTTTATTTATAGGGCGCTTTTCCTGCACAGGGCAACACAAAGCGCCTCACAGTCCACACCACACAATGCACAAATCATCACCATTAAAATACAATTAAAAACACATATGTAATTAAAAAGCATTAAAATCACATAAGTAATTTAAAAACATAAAAATCACACAAGTAATTAACTCTTTCAGTGCCAGACATTTTCAGAACATCACTCCTCCAGTGCCAGCCGTTTTGCTGATTTTCACCGACTTTTAAAGACCCATAGAATATGTTCTGCTATGACTAGCCTAAATCTGAGACCATATTCTGAAAGATTGGACCCTCTAGTTTATTCAGAAAAAATAAGTGTGTTTCTATCGGCTTTAGTTCTTCTGTAATCACCATTGGAGTAAGGTAAACTTTTCACAGAAATCATCAGTTTCCGACATAAAGCTGAGAAAATGAGGTGTTTGTGAAAATAAGCAAACAATGCAGAAAAGTGACTTTGAAAAGTTTTTTTTTACTTTAGTCATTTCTCACACAACAGAACATTCTTCCCATGTATAAAATAAGGGAAATGACTCAAAATAAAGTGCTTTTGATAGCAAAATAATACTCAGAACACAGAATAATACTCAGAACACAGAATAAGAAATGTACAAACATAAATTACAAACAAATAACTATATACATAAAGTGCTGATTGGCTGAGAGTGTGCGTGTGTGCGTGCGTGTGTGCGTGCGTGTGTGTGTGCATGTGTGCGTGCATGTGTGCGTGCATGTGTCTCTGTCTATATAGTGTAATCTTGTTGTGTGTGATATTTTGTGAAGCACTCTCCTTTGTGTAAGGGGACACCACATGCCTTGCACCACATCCTGGTCTCACTGCGCAGGCCTTTGCGCATGCAGACCCTGCATCTCCTCGAGGGTCTGGTCTTCGAGCCGGAGGACAGCAGGTACTCCACTTTGTGCCTGGCACCCTCATCGAGCCTGCTCTCTGGATCCGTGTTATATGGAGCCCTGGGGTTTCGTGGTGCTCCTTCCTCCACACATGCAACGATCACCTCGTTCTCCTCGTTGTGGTCCTCCTCGTCCTCCTTGTCCTCAATGTCCTCAATGTCCTCGATGTCCTCGATGTCCTCCTCGTCCTCCTCGTCCTCCTCGTCCTCCTCGTCCTCGATGTCCTCGATGTCCTCCTCGTCCTCATCCTGGACCTTCAATGTCCAGGACCTCATGACCCCCTGCATGAATTCCAAGAGGGTTTTGTATTCCCGGTTCCCGTTCCTGGCTCTGTAGAGAGTGTGGGCATTGTACATTGCGATTTGGAACAGGTAAGCTACAAATTTTTTGGTCCAGTTCAGAGACTTCCGGACGAACGGGTAGTATTTAATGTTCTGATCTAATCGATCCACGCCATTCATGGAGGAGTTATAGGCATCGACACACTCCGGTTTTAGGACAGACACCTTCTCCCTCTGTCCTCGCTGCCAAACGTCGACACTAGTCATATTGTCATGGTGACATGTTGTCAACATCTTGACAATCCGTTTGTCCCGCCACGCCAGAACCATGACCTTCCCATTGTTCACCGCGACTCTCCCCCCCACACTCAGCTCAGTCTTGGTCACGTCCCTAATGCTCTCAGGCTCTCCCCGGTTCTTCCTTAGCGTCCCACACACATTTGTTTTTACTGCCATCAACTGCTCAGACAATGCCACAGAATTGTAGTAGTTGTCCATAAACAGAGTGTGGCCGGCACCTGGGAGACGGTCAAGGAGAGAAAAAACAATGTCAGGGATCGTGCGGGGCTCACCAACATAGGGCTGCAGGTTAAAGCAGTAGCCGGTGGCAGAGTCGCAGAGCACATAGGACTTTATTCCATACTTTATGGGCTTCTGTGGGTTGTAGACCTTGAAGGCCAGCCGTCCTCTCCAGAGCAACATCCCCTCATCTATGCAAATATTCTGCCCGGGTTGGAACATTACCTTGAATTTATTGATCAGGTAGTCGTAGACGGGGCGAACCTTGTATAACCTGTCAGTTACATCAATTGCAGAGTTGTCATTGTAATGGAGGAACCTCCATATGAGTTGGAACCGGTTCCTGGACATTATTTTAGTGAAGAACGGGGTCACAAACATCTCATCCACGTTCCAATACATTGCCAGGGTTGGCTTGTGGATAACACCAGTGAGGAAAGACAATGCAAAGAACTTTTTTAGCTCTGGAATGGTCACTGGTCTCCATGCACGCTTTCTGCTGTGTTGCGGAATCTCTGGGTTTGCCAGGAAATGCTGTTGAGCATAGAGGTTGGTCTGCTCTGTGATGTGCTGGAGCAGCTCGTCCGTGAGGAACAGCTCCAGGAAGTCAGCAGGCGAGGTGGACTCCAGCTCTGCTGCCGCGTTCAGGGGACCAGGCGTTGCAGTGAAGGGGAACACAGTGGGTTTCCATCCGGATTTCCGCCAGGTGCCGCCTTTACCCTTTGCAACTGTAATAAATTATGGAAATGTATACAATAAATAGGAATCAAATAGAGCTCGTTTTATTGTTTTGATGTGATGTAGAGAAAGATATTCCTACCTCTTTTCTTCACACCTGTATTTGCAGGACTCACGCTGGCAGCGCCTCTGCTCAATGTAGCGCCTGTATAGAATTGTACAATAACTCATCTATCCATATACACACATATCCAAATACATATACATCTACAGACGCACATATCCAAAGACACACAGACACACATGCACAGAGACACACGCACAGAGACACACGCACACACACACTACACACTACATACATATTTATACACATACATATACACACACATGCATATATACATACATATATGAGTATTTTATTTACCTGTAGGCCTCCTTTTACCAGCATTAGTACTCCTGGATTGGCCCAGCACTCTGCTTACTAGAAATACACACAAATACAATCATGAGAATTATACAAGAATACTTTTATTTCATTGCTAAATACATATGTATAATGTATGCATTACCTGCTCTGCCGGTTGCTCTGGGGGAATCGGGGGATGAGTCACTGCTGTTTGGGTCAGCTTCAGGTTCCCATAGCTCTGAAGAGCCTGTATCCGACGAGGAACTTTCTCTGGACCGACGTGGACCACTGGAACTGCGTGCGGCGGCTCTGGAGCGACGTGCGCGGCAAGGACTCCCGCCAACGGCCAGATGTTTAGACTTAGCTTTAGCCGTAGCCTCAGGCTTTTTGCCAACTGAAGGCAGAGGCAGATCACCTCCACCTTCCTCATGGCCATCACCCACCGACCTTCTGATGGTACCACCAGCACCAAACGCCTCCTCCATCGTTAGCTGCCGCTTTCTGCTCATATTCGCTCTCCCGATTACTCTCTTGTGCTCACTCTAACCAACCTACTCCCACAATGAGATCTGGGCTTCCGGTTCCTTTTATGCCTGATCGAAGAGCTAAAGGAGGCTACTGACATCTGCTGGCCGAATAAAATACTGTCAAACAGTCCCGATCAGAGATATATGATAGAATGGATGCGTCTGGATCTGAATACACCAAAACACGTCAATTGCATAAAATGCGTCAATGGCACACAACCACAGATCTTGAATTGACGTAATATGCGTCATTGGCACTGAAAGAGTTAAAAACAATAAAATAGTTAAAAACACAAAAAGTTACAACAATAAATAACAAGGTGTGTTAAAAAGATAAAATTCTCTAGTTGTATGCACGGGAAAAAAGAAAAGTCTTTAACATGGATTTGAACATTGACAGAGAGGCAGCCAGTCTCACATCCTCAGGAAGACCGTTCCAGACTCCAGCTGCATAAATCTGAAAAGCAGCCTCCCCCTGTCTAGTCCTGACTCTGGGCACTAACAGGAGTCCCGTCCCTGCGCTCCTCAGAGTCCGGGCTGGTTCATATGGGACTAGCATATCATGGATGTACTTTGGTGCAAGGCCATGGAGAGACTTGTACACCAGGAGAGCTGCTTTAAAGTCTATTCTCTGGGCCACGGGAAGCCAGTGCAGAGACCTGAGGACCGGACTAATGTGGTCGTACTTCCTGGTTCTAGTCAGGACTCGGGCTGCAGCATTTTGAATATACTGCAACTGTCTTACTGCATGTTTGGAGATACCTGTGAGCAGGCCATTGCAGTAATCCAGCCTACTGGAAACAAAAGAATGGATAAGAATCTCCAAGTCTGCCCTGGACACAATATTTTTAATTTTGGCAATATTTTTCAGATGATAAAAAGCTGCTGATGTTAGCGATCCAATGTGGCTATTGAAGTTTAAGTCAGAGTCCATTATTACTCCCAGATTTCTGACCTTATTTAAGGGCCTTAGGGAGAGAGACTGAAGGTGACAAATGACGGTCTCTCTTTGTTTCTCGGGACCAAAGACAATCATTTCGGTTTTGTCCGCATTTAGCTGGAGAAAATTGCATTGCATCCACTCACTGATCCGCTGGATACAGCGAAGGAGTGAGTCCACCGGCCCATGCTCTCCTGCAGTCAGTGAGACATAGATCTGAGTGTCATCAGCGTAATTGTGGTAGGACACTTTCATACTTTGAATTAACTGACCTAATGGCAGCATGTAAATATTGAACAGGAGAGGTCCCAGAATCGACCCCCTGTGGCACTCCGCAGGTCAGGGCCATATTATCTGAGACATAGTTTCCAATCTCCACACAATACTTCCTTTCTTCTAGATAGGACCTAAACCAGCTTAGGGCGGTACCAGCAACACCAACCCAGTCCTCCAGTCTCTGCATGAGAATCTCATGGTCAACGGTGTCGAAAGCGGCACTCAGATCTAACATGACTAAAACAGAGACTTTTCCTGCATCAGTGTTAAGCCGAATATCATTTGTTACCTTGACTAGAGCGGTCTCAGTACTGTGGTGTGGTCTAAAGCCAGACTGAAACATGTCAAATGAGTCATTAGATATTAAAAATTCAGTAAGTTGTTGGTAGGCAACTTTTTCAAGAATTTTTCCCATGAAAGGCAGATTTGAGATGGGACGGTAATTTTCAAGTACCGCAGCATCCAAACTGCTCTTTTTTAGGAGGGGCCTAATGACTGCCTTTTTCAGGGCCATTGGAAATGTTCCAGATAAAAAAGACATGTTTACTATTTGTGTCAATGAGGGTAATAGACTACACATAACAGACTTCAGAAATCTAGGAGGTAGTACATCCAGACTGCAGGTAGAGGAACTAAGACCTGTGATTATCTTTTTAACAGTTTCATCATTGACAGGTGCAAATTGAGCTAGCTCACAAAGCCTCACTGGATGTTGCATTGTTACTTGTGTTGTAGAGGTGATGGCATTTCTGATACCCTGAACCTTGTCTCTGAAGAACTGTGCAAACTCATTACACCTGGATTTGGAGTAGTGTTCTAATGGCAACTCAACAGGGGGATTCGTTAATCTATTGATTGTTGAAAATAGAACACGCAGATTGTTGCTGCAGCCTTCAATAGTTTCAGAAAAGTATAATTCTCTTGTTCTACGTAGTACTCTGTTAAACTCACACAACTTCTCTTTTAAGAGTCTATAATCACCCTGGAGGTTGGACTTTCTCCACTTTCTCTCTGCTCTCCGGCACTCTTGCTTCTGTGCCCTGACCGGGCCTGCTTTTATCCATGGGGCTTTTTGCTTATTTGTGACCATTTTTACCTTCACAGGGGCAATGGCGTCCAGAACATTCAACACACTAGAGGTGACAGAGTTAAGCAGTTCATCTACAGTAGAACATGATGCGTTCTCAAAATGGATCATTCCCATAAATAGTTCACCCGTGTTTTCATTTAAGTGTCTACTTCTAACAATTTCATATTTAGCAGGTGGTCTGGTAGCAAAACACATGTTAAAAAATACACAGAAATGATCCGACAGAGCAACATCAACTACATTAACTTTTGAAATATTCACCCCTTTCGTGATAAGCAGGTCCAAGGTGTGTCCTCTGCTATGGGTGGGGCCACTCACATGCTGAGTGAGGCCAAAGGATTCAAGTATGGAACTCAGCTCTTTTGCGTATCTGTCATTAACATTATCCACATGAATATTAAAATCGCCTATAATGACTAAACCATCAAAATCTGTGCACACAACTGAAAGCAACTCAGTGAAATGATCAGTGAAACTATGGCATGACTGTGGCGGCTTGTACACAACAATAATAAGAATGGAAGAAGATTTCTTTTGTTCTATTTTAAAAGAAACATACTCAAATGATGAAAATTTCCCAAGAGACACCCTATGGGAGACAATACGATCTTTAAAAACTGCTGCTATGCCCCCCCCCCCTTTTATTTTCTCGTGTTTCATGTTCAAATTTGAAATTTGGTGGTGAGGCTTCTATTAAAACTGCATCTCCTGTATTATGGTTAAGCCATGTTTCAGTCATAAACATAAAATCAAGATCATACGAACAGATAAAATTATTAATTAAAAATGATTTGTTGCATAGTGATCTGACATTAAGTAGAGCAAGGTTAAAATTAATATCAGTGTCAGTGGGTTTAGTTGATTGATTACAAAGAACTGGAATTAGATTTCCAGAGTTGGACCGTCTAACTGCTGTCCTTCTTTTAAATTTGTGTTTATTCAAGTTAAAACACATTTCTGAGCTGGTGCGAGGAACACACACAGTCTCTATTGGTTTAAAAAGTGAACTCTGTTGTACTTTGTTAAGTTCCAGATGCATAACTGAGTCAGCACAGTTCCGTGGCAGGACTGTCGTTACACTGCCAGACGGACAGGGGTCAGTGTTTGCACCACAGTACTCACCCGGTGCTGGTAAGGAAGAGGAGGGGGGTGGTGGGGGCCGAGAAGCCTCAGATGTAAACAGTCACGCCCCCCTCGGGGAGCACTGAACAACATGGCGCAGGAAGTCCGTCAACAAACTGGTGCCGTATCTGTTCGGGTGCAGACCATCTGGACGATAGGCCACGTGACGCTTCCAGAACAGGCCAAAGTTGTTCACAAAAATAAAGTTAAAAGTGCTGCATGTAGACTGGAGCCACATGTTGAGCGCCACAACGCGACTGTAGAGGCAGTCACCCCGGTTTACAGTCGGGACTGGACCAGAGATAAAAACACACAACCCGGAGGACTGGAGGAGGCGGAACAGATTCATAAAGTGCTTCTTTGTGACCTCTGACTGCTGCAGCTTCATATCATTTATACCCACATGCACGATTACCTTGGATATGGTATCGGGCAGGGAGTGAAGCAGAGGAGGGAGACGGATGAGCAGATCTGGGACTGTAACTCCGGTAATGCAGTGAGTGACCGCGTTAAAAAAGCGGACGTGCCTCACGATGGAATCTCCAATAATCAGAGTAGTTGGGGCGAAAAGTGGACGCGGCCGCGGAGAAGGCGCTCGGTGTCCATGGCCAGAACCAGCGGGCTCATCCAGGGATGGGTCCGAACCAGGGCGCTGCTGAACACATGGAGAAGAGTGGGGGTGTTGATTCCCAGCTCCGGGCAACCCACGCTGTGTGCACGGAGACGCTGGAGCGGCGAGAGGAGCAGGCTCGGGTCGCTGCTGCTGACCCGGTGAAGGTAAGTGGTGGTGATGCACTGGGGTCAGAGAAGGGGAATGACCACTCTTTCGTCTGAGGACAGCTTCCTTTAAGAGTGTCTTTCTCGCAGTGGACCTGGATCCACGGACAGCAGTAGAGTTTGCTGCAGAGTCCAGGGGTTCTGCTGAGGGGGCTGGTATGTCAGCGGAGAGGGCTGCATAGCGGTTTGACAGGCTCAGGACATGGGCCACGGCGCTGGATGGCTCCTCGCAGTCCGCAGGCTCTTTATTCCGAAACCGGGCACTTAGGTGTAGAACAAGAGGGCCCAGAGCTGACAGACCTCTCCCACACGACAGTGTCACAGTATGCAGCGCTCAGTGACATAAGCCGTGAGTGCTGCCCGCCAGCGACATCAAAAAGTTTGGACACGAGTGACTGTTTATCCTGCAGCTCTGCAGTGAGGCGAAGGACTTCTTTACGGAGGTCTGCAATAGTGGCACGGTCCCTCTCACGAAGCTCCAATGTGAGGCGACTAATGTCGTTCGTGGTCATTGCAGTGTCACTTTCCATGTCTGTGGTGCGCTCGTGGTAGCCTCCGAGCTAGCGTGTTTCGATTTGGTCTTTGTGTTAAAAGACGTAATGCTCTGGAACCATTGCATTTAAGATAATAAAACACTAGAGTGTACAAAAGACACTAATACACCGTAAAAACGTGTTTAAAAGGCTTTAAAAGGCTTAAAAGGGTAAACAGAGCAGAGACGTCAAAACGCGTGCTCACTCCACACGCGTACAGTAGGTCTGACCATCATGGATCTAC